CTGAGCCTGAGCGTGCGAAGCCTGGGGGTGCTGAGCCTGCGGGTGCGGAGCCTGGTGTTGCTGAGTCTGGGGGTGCTGCGCCTGGGGGTACTGCTTCTCTACTACGGGAGCTTCTCTCACCACAGCAGCCGCGTGAGTGGTACGCTCAGCAGCTCCGCCTTCGGAGTGTCGCTGCCGGAGAGGGAGGCCTTGGAGCCAACAGTCCTGGAGGTGCTGGAGGTACTGCTGGTGCTGGTGGTACTGGAGGAGCTGGAGTTGTTAGTCCTGGAGGTGCTCGTACTGGAGGTACTGGAGCTGCCGGAGCTGGTGGTGCTGCCAGTACTAGTGGTGTTGGTGGTGCTGGCACTGCTGGTCCCGGAGGTGCTTGTACTGGAGGTACTGGAGGTGCTCTCTCACCGTAGCAGCTGCACGAGTGGTACACTCAGCAGCTCCGCCTTTGGAGTGTCGCTGCTGGAGAGGGAGGCCTTGGAGCTGACAGTCCTGGAGGTGCTGGAGGTACTGCTGGTACTGGAGGTACTGGAGGAGCTGGAGCTGTTAGTCCTGGAGGTGCTCGTACTGGAGGTACTGGAGCTGCCGGAGCTGGTGGTGCTGCCAGTACTGGTGGTGCTGGTGGTGCTGGCACTGCTGGTCCCGGAGGTGCTCAAACTGCGTCGTGAGCCTGCGTCTCGTCCCGCGTCGCCTGTTCGCGCTGTTCGCACTGGTCGTCGTGTTCCTCGTGAGCGTCCTCCTCCTGCCCCTAGTACTCACATTATAACACTTCGTCCTTCCTCTGTTCCACAGCGTGTCCCTCTGCCGTCTCCTCCTGAGTCCTCTCTTCCACACGCTCCGGACCCTAAGTCTGACCTGGTTCGTGCTGCCAGCCCTACTGTCATGCGTCTCCTAGCCACTGTTGTCACTGACCCTTCGTTTGAGTCCACTGCTGCGTCTCCCTTAGCAGCTGAGCTTGTTGACTTTGCTGCTGCTTGTCGTCTCGACTACGCCGCTAGTCTTGTTGCTGAGTCTGAGTCTGTCCGTCCGTCGGGGGGTGAGTGTGCTCTTGGCACGGACGTCCTTGAGGACAGGCAGGAGGACTTTGACTGAGAGTCTTGCAGTCGCTGTACCTCATCTCGTGGCCATGCTGCTTGCACCTGAGGGAGACCCGGATGCACTGGACATCCCGACCCCGCGCTCTTACGCAGAGGCAATTACGGGTCCCTACTCCTCTCAGTGGCAGGCAACCATGGACGCAGAGATGGCATCCTGGAAGTCTACAGGCACTTACGTCGATGCAATTTCCCCTCCTGGGCCGAACATAGTCGATGGCGTGTGGAATTTTAGGGTGAAGCGGCCGCCGGGTTCTCCGCCTGTCTACAAGGCTCGTTACGTTGTTGTACGAGACTTTAGTCAGCGTCAGGGAATTGACTTCTTCCAGGCCTTCTCCCCTACCCTGGAAATGACCACTCTTCGGGTGCTGCTGCACGTTGCCGCTCAGCATGACTACGAGCTTCACTCTCTTGACTTCAGCACAGCTTTTTTACTGGGCAGCCTGCACGAGGAGATCTGGCTGCACCGCTCACGGGGCTTCACTGGGTCGTTTCCTGCAGGTACCTAGTGGAGCCTCCGGCGACCAGTCTACGGTCTCCGCCAGGCGCCTCGTAAGGTGTACGACACACTAAGGACGACACTTGCGGCACTTGGGTTTGCTCCTTCGACTACAGAACCGTCGCTGTTTCTCTGCACCAACACTTCGCTGCCGCCGTTCTACATCCTCGTGTACGTCGATGACTTGGTTGTCGCCACTGCTGACACTGAGGCACTCGCCCTTGTGAAGTCGGAGCTGTAGAAGAGACACACGTGCACAGACCTGGGTGAACTGCGCAGCTACCTTGGCTTGCAGATCATCCGGGACAGAGCACGGCGCACCATCACCCTGACTCAGTCACACATGGTGCACCAGGTACTTGAGCGCTTTGGCTTCACTTGGTCCTCGCCACAGTCCACTCCTCTGGCTACCGGTCACTCGCTCTCAACTCCACCTTCGGACGAGTCCGTAGAGCCTAGTGGCCCGTATACAGAGCTTGTGTGCTGCCTCATGTACCTGATGACCTGCACTCAAGTCGACCAGCCCTTCTGGTCGACCTGGTAAGTCGACCAGCCCTTCTGGTCGACCTGGTAAGTCGACCAGACCTTCTGGTCGACCTGGTTGGTCGACCAGGCCTTCTGGTCGACCAGGAGTGACGTCGACTTGGAGCTGGTCGACCAGGGGGTAGTGGTCGACCTGGGGAGGTCGACTGGAGGTGGCCGTCGACTTGGGAGGTCGACCGGCACATACAGGAGCAGCTGGTCGACGTGGTTGCCCGGTCGACCAGGTTATCTGGGTGACGAGGTTCTGCGAAGGCACGCGACGGTCGCCCAGGCGTTGTTGGTGAGGACGACCTCGGTGGTGGTATCCCGAGGTCGACGTGGCTGATCAGAAGCAGTCGTCAGCACAAAGTTGACGTGGTGTGTGCGCTGTGCAGGTGACGAGGCACTACACGCCAATCATCTGCAAGCACCTGCGAAGCGGGTGCGCTGCTGTCCTGCGGGAGCAACGTTGGCACGCCGTCAACTTGCGATGTTGGCACGCCTTACTGGACACTCTGACGCATCTTGGGTTGACGACCTGGCTACACAGCGGTCGTCACAGGGTTACACGTTCAGCCTTGCGCTCTGTTTCTTGGAAATCTACCCGCTCGTCTTCTGTTCTCAGCTCTAGTTGTGAGGCTGAGATCTACGCAGGAGCCATGGCTGCACAGGAGTTACGCTGGCTCACCTACTTGCTGACCGACTTGGGAGAGAGGCCTCGTTCTCCTCCAGTTCTGTACGTAGACAACAAGCCCACTATTGCCTTCTGTCAGGAGCACCGTCTGGAGCACAGAACGAAGCACATCGCTCTGCGTTACTTCTTTGCTCGAGAGCTGCAGCAGCGTGGTCAGCTTCGTCTTGCTTACGTGGCCACTCGGGCCAACACTGCTGATATATTCACCAAGGCACTTCCGCCTGGTGATCATCAACGCTTCTGTAATGATTTAAGCCTTGTGCCTGCTTCGTCTCACTTGCTCACTGCGTGACTTTGCTTGTACTGTGATCTATATATATACTTGCATGCTTATTCTTGCTACCATTATCACCCGGACATACCACCCTAGGGTGCTATGATAACTACATCAAAAAAAATTGGGGGGTCTTGTCTTTGGAAAAAACTACATACCACACAGGTCTTTTCATACGGTGGTTTTTAGTGTAAGGATTAAGATAAGGAGAGTTTGGGTGTTATCAGTATTGGTTTATCATCACAGCTAGAAGCGAGAATGCGAGTTTTGGCGTGATCATTTTCACCCCTTTTGAGATTGCCAGGTGGCACCTCTTTGCCCACTTGTTAGAGAACTATCTACCAATGTGGCAGCCGCGTAACGGAGGGAGGGAGGCGGTTTCGGCAGATTCCATAAAAAATTTCCATGCAATTTCATCGAGGGAATGATTTCCGCGATGTTCTCTAGTACTCGTTAACAACTATATTAAGCAAATTTGTAAGAAAGGGGGGTGTTATAGAAAATCACCCCAAAAGGGGGGTATAGTAGAAACGAGGTCCGCTATAGCACCCACCCCGCACAAGCCACCCGGGGGGTCTTCAATTTCGGCGGGTGGTATGTCCGGGTGATTACGGTAAGTAGTGACCACTGCACTGTTTTTTATATTTCTCTGCATGTGAACTGGCCTTGTGGCCATTTGCTTGTGCTCAGAATGCGTGGTCACTTCGTGATCAGGCCCCAAATTTCAAGGGTATTTTACCCTTTTTGCCCTGCTCATAGGCCACTTTTTGGCAGTTACCCTTTTCAAATCAGGGTATGGAGATTTTTACCCTAGTGAAATCAGGATACGCTAAAAAATACTCTTGTAGTTTTCCCAGTTACACTGACTGTATCAGGGTAGGGGTTCAACTACCCTTTTACCGGAACTTTTTTCTACCGCGGATTCCGCCACAGTACGCGCCACGACAAAGTGCACCACGGTCCCACTGGACCATTTGTTCGATACACCCACTGGCGCGCCAACGCACATTCAGCACGGATGCCCGCACACACCTACGATTGGTTTGTTGAGCAACATTACAGCCAACGCACCCGGTTTCCGTGTGTTCCCGAAGCACCACTCACTGCCAACGTAGCCAAATTGCGCGCCAGGTGGGGTACGTGCTGTCGTTTCCACCACCTGGCAGTCATTGTAGCCTTGCAGCCTATGCCATGCAGTTCCCGATGGTTTATTTAACTAGATTGTTAGTACAGGTTGTGTGCAGAACACTTTAGTGTTAAGTAACTGATAGTGTAGTTTAAATACGTGCGTAGGAAGGAAACAGTGTACGACATATATTACCCTGCTGAAATCAGTGTAACTGAACTTTTAGGCTGCTACAATCAGTGTACGAGAAAAATTACCCTACCAGTCAGGGTACGGAGGGCCTGCCACCCTGATTTGAAAGAGTGAGCTAAAACCTATTTTGGGCCCTGTTCGTGATCCACCCTGAACTTGCTTTGCTTTTCTTGACTGGTCTTGTGACCACTGGTTCTCCCCCACTTTGCCTATGGGGGTGTGCCAAACTGCAATCATGTTTGTGTTGTGTAGGCTGTAGTGGGGTAGCCCATATAGGGTACAACCCAGTTTAGGGTTTGCACTTGTACCCACATTCTGCTCAATGCAATCACTCCTGCTCGTTAATTCTTGACATAGGTGCACCTACGGTATGCTTCTACCGTATTTAAGGTGATACGGTAACGGTACCTCAGCCTCAGTGCATGCGACAGTCCAAGAAGCAGCATAGCATGGTTCATGAGAGGCAACATCATTCAGGTACAGAACCGGGACATGGCCTTATATTTTTTCTTAACAGGTTAGGGCTCTAAACTCAGGGCCCTGTTTTAAGCTACGGTAGTACAGCACTTCAGAAGGTAGCAATGCAATGTACCGGTAGTCTACTTCATTGTTCATGCAGTCACCTGTCTCCTTTTCATCAGTTCCTCCACCATCGCTCTCACTCTTCGCTCATTTGCACCTGCCCTCAGCAACCCTTCCGCCTTACCAGCACCACCATCACCACCCCCACCTACAGTATCACCATCACAGAGACCCACACCAATGCCACTTGCATGCCTATCAGCAGCATCACCAGCAGAACCAGCTCGGCCGCCCAATCTGGTCAGCTCTTCAGCCGGTGGAAACCCCTCACCAAAATTACTTGCAGCAACCACATCAGCGGCTCGCACAATACCACGTGGCAGCGTCTCATTGGCTACCAGACCATCAGACTCTGCCAGCCTCAACTGCAGCCTCCTGCCTCCAGGGCCAAACCAATGCTCCGCTTTCTCCTTCCCTTCTCTCTCCACCCATCCTCTCTCAATTCCTTTTCTTTCCAGGCCTCCCCTCTCCTCACCCTCTCCTCTTTCATCACCCTCTCTCCCACCACCACCACTCCCATGGCCCACACGCCCACCACTGCCATACCCATCACCCCATGCACTTCCCCCCGCCTTGCGCTTCACTTGCAGCCCACGCACCCACTCGTGCTGAGGGACAGGCTTATAAACAGGACCCGAGCCGGGCTTATAAAGAGGAAGCGGTGGATGTCGGGCAAGGCTGTGTTGTGAATGGCTGTGGGATGACACAGGCAGGATGGGTGCAGAGAGCTCGTGATTGGTGCGGGAGGGAGAAATGGGCACGTGGTGTGAGGCTGGAAGCAGGTGGGAGTGTGGGAGCCGTTGGTTGATGGGGGCAGTGTGGGCGGATGGATGGGGGAGCTGCAGCAGTGGAGGAGGAGGGGAGGGTGAAGGCGAGGGGTTGGGTCGGGATGATAGGAGAGAGGTGCAAGGGGCCAAAGCAGCCGCAGCAGCATAGGAAGGGGCGGAGGAGCGGAGGAGATTGAGGGACGTGGGGAGACCAGGGATGGGCACACTGCTTGCATGCCATGCCCTGCTGTCGGGATGCGACTGGTATTGCTCAAGCGGGTATGGAACGGAAGCAGCAGCAGCAGCTGCTGCTGTTGCTGGGGCTGCTGCTGGTGCTGCAAGCAAAGGGGGGAGTTTCGCCAAAGACACAACCTCGTTCCCCCCGTCTTCCTCCGTATTTTCGTCCGTCACACCCTCGCTTGCTGCGCTCGCTGTAGCAGCACACACCCATGCAAAGCCACTGGTTCTGATAAGCTCCCTTGCCATACCCATCCCCACGATGCCTTCCTGCCTCGTCACCGCACTCACAGGCAGCATGCCGCCCAACCCCAGTGCTCCACCACTTTCCACCGCACTGGCTCCAACCTCCATACCCCCTTCCACTCCCATAGCTGCAGCCCCCACAGCAGTCGATTGCCGCGAGGGAGCAAGGGAGGGGGCAGCAGCAGCATGAGCAGCAGTGTGAGCAGCAGGAGCATTGGGAGCAAAGGGTGCGAAGACAAAGGCGGTGAGGGGAGGGTCTGAGAAGAGAGCATCGAGGCGACGCATGAACACAGGGAGAAGAATGCGCGGCCACACTGGCACCGCACACAACCGCCCTGCACTCCTCGCGCTCCCCACATCCCCTTGCTCCCCTACTTGCTCCCCGCGCTGCCCTTGCTCCCTCCCACTCCTCCACACCACTCCACACCCCTCTGCCAGCAGTTGCTCCACCTGCTGCGCCAGAAGCACCGGGGGGGTCTGATCGCCCTGCAGCAGGCGAAGGAAGGAGTTGAGTGCGGTCGAGAGCGGGGCCAGCTGGGGATGCAGCTGAGGGGCTAGAAAGGACAGGTGAGGCGGCAGGGAGAGGGTGGGTGAGGGGGATGAGGAGGGGGAGGTGAGGGGGGGTTGGTGAGGGGAGGAGAGGTGGAGGGGGGGAAAGTGGGGTAGGCGGAGGGAGGAGAGGGCAGTGGTCAGGTGGGAGGTGTGAGAGGGGCTGTTCCAGTCAAGGGGAGGCAGGAAGGCGGATAGTAAAGAGGCCTCCGGTCTACCAGCTGCCTCTGAAGCTGCACTGTCCACCTTCCTTCTGCTCTCTCCCATCTCACTGCCACTGCTCTCTCCTGTGCGTACCCTTCGTATCTCTACCTGATGCCCCCTTATCAGCTGCAGCAAAGACGGAAGTTCAGGCAAAGGGTTTCCACTGGTAGGGGGTGAGGCTGCGACAGCTGTCGCGATGTCATTGGCTGCGCTGTCCAGGCTGGCGTTGAACTCAGTGATGCACTCCTGTGGCCGCACTAGTGAGGGGTCCACGGCCAATAGACGCGTGACACGTGGCGACAGGTGGCGCAGCACGAGATCGCGGAGGGGGAGTGGAGCAAGCTGAGGTGGCAGAGGAGAAGAATCGACCAACCAACGCAGGCCACTTGTCAGGGCAATCTTGGCGGGCCAATCAGGAGAGGTCACGTCATCAGGTTGAGGGGGAGTAGATCGGCCGAGAGGGAGGATTCGGAGAGCAGAGAGGCGGGGGGCTGGAGGGGAGGAAGGTGGACGAGTGGAGGGGGGTTGCAAGTGGGAGAGTGTGAGGGACGCGAAGGAGGAGGGAACGGGCACAGGGGCACATGGGCCTGTGGAGAGAGACATGGATGCTGCTCCTGCTGCTGCTGCTGCTGCTGCTGGTGATGATGGTGCTGATGGTTGTGGCGGGTGGGGAGGCAGGACGAGGAGCAGCAGGGGGATGGGAGCGAGGGAGGTCGGGAGCGATGCCACTGCGTTTTTTATGCGTTGCACCTGGGGCTCTGCAAGGCTGTTGCCGTCCACAACACACACCATCGCCTGAGACCCTTCCAGAAACCTTCCACCGTCTCCAGTCTGCACGTCTGCAGAGATCCGCCTCAGCACGAGCCAGAAAAGCGAGTCCGATGCAGAGCCTGGTCCCCTTGCTTGTGTGTTTTCATCTGAATCAGCACCTGAAGTTACACCTGGCAGCTCGGGTGGTGCTTCCCCTGCTGCAGTGCGGTGTGGCATGGGAGCCACATAGCAGGCGAGCAGCGATGGGTCAGTGGGCTGCGAGGCGGATGAGCTGCCGTGAGGTGTGCTGTGCGGTGCTGTTCGATGCTGGAGGGCGTTGAGGGCGTGGGAGGGGGCGGAGAGGCTGCTGCAGAGCCAGTGTGTGGCGTCATGGAGTGGTGATGGTGTGTCCTGCAACACAAGCATTCACAATGGGAAGGTACGAAAGGTAGTTGGAGCAGCATGCCTCTGTGCAGGGCTCAGTTGGGATGGAGTCGGATGGAGTTGGGTGGAGTGGGATGGAGTGGCTGATAATCAGTGATTGCCGTCGGAGCAATAAGCAGGGTGTGGTGTGGCACACAGCGTAGCACGGTGATAATCCTAGGCAGGAGGAGCGGCAAACGGGGTAACACGACATGCACACGGCACTTGTGGTACCTACCGCAGGCACCACAAATGAACACACCTGCGAGTCGCGTTCTGGCCAGCACACAAGAAGCTTCCACGAAACCACTCGGCGCGCACTCAGCAGTAGCCCAGCACTGCTGGATGGCACCCCTCTGGCGACCAGTCTAGCGCCCACCAGCCGTGCCACGTCCAGAGGAGAGGGCGCAGCAAAGACACTAGGAGCAGCGAAGGCAGTGGGAGCAGCGAAGCCTGTTGGTCCCCAAGGCGCAGGTGGATGGAGGAACCTGGGGCCACCGGCACTGCATGCTGTGACGGCAGCCCGGCTATCTGCTGTAGCGCCCCCTCTGTCGGCAGCGCTTGCCGACATGTTGGCCAGTGCAGGCGGCCCCCATGTTGCTGCTCCGCGCAACCGCTTGTGTGGAGCTTGCTGCGATGGGCGGGAAGGAGCGCAGCAGATAGAGAGCAGGGGATGGACAGGGGAACCGGCAGTGTGGGAGGGAAGAAGCAAGACGGGGCCTTTCACTGTCCAGCATGTGGATTCTTAGCAGCCTAGGGGTGGGTGCTAAGAACAAGAGTGCAGTGTGCTTCGTTCACAGCCACAGCTGTGCCTCGCCCACCGCACCACCAGCAACACACACACACACTACCTTAGTGGACTAACTGGGTGCTTTTGAAAGTGATAAAAAAAACCGCTCGCCGACAGGAGCACCACCAGAACAGAACAGCACAGCACACTACCCCACACGCACAGCACAGCACAGCACAGCACAGCACAGCACAGCACACCACACCACACCACACCACACCACACCACACCACACCACACCACACCACACCACAGTACCGCACAGCACAGCACAGCACAGCACAGCACAGCACAGCACAGCACCGCACAGCACAGCACAGCACAGCACAGCACAGCACAGCACAGCACACCACACCACACCACAGTACCGCACAGCACAGCACAGCACAGCACAGCACAGCACAGCACAGCACAGCACAGCACCGCACAGCACAGCACAGCACAGCACAGCACAGCACAGCACAGCACAGCACAGCAGAGCTTATTACCATAGATGCCACCACAGTCGGCTGCGAAACAATCGCGCCCTCCAGCTGCCAATCACTGACTGCCAGCTGGCGCAGCCGTCTCAGCTGCCCCATCTGAGCCGCATTCTGCCTCCACCTCCTCACAAAGCGCCGCAGCCACACACCCCTCACCTTCCGCCCCGCCTCTTCCAACGCTACCCGCTCCCTCTCCTGCTCCTCCCTTACCCTCCTCTGCCTCTCCTCCTCCTCCCGCTGCCTCCTCTCCCTCTCCTTCCTCTCTTTTTCCCTCTTCATGCTCTCCTGCCTCTCCTTCTCCCTTTGCTCCGCTTCCCTCTTCTCTCTCTCCACCCTCGCTCTCTCCTTCAGAATCCTCTCCCTCATTTCCAGCTCTTTCCTTCTTCTCTCTTGCCTCACCTGCTCCTCCCGCTCCTTTTCCCTCCTCTCCCTCTCCGCTGCTTCTGCCTCTCTCTCCCGCCTCTCCTCCTCTTCCCGCACCCGCCTCTCCTCCTTTTCCCGAGCCCTCCTCTCCTCCTCCTGCCTCTTCGCTTGCACCTGGATAGCAGCCCTCCTCTCAAGCTCCTTCACTCTCTCCCTCTCTCGCTCCATCTCCCTCTCTAACACCCTCTGCTTCTCTTCCATTGCCTTGATCTGCTCCTCCCTTTGCCTCTGCTCCATCAACATTTTCTGCTGCTGCTGCAATTGCCGCTGCTGCTGCAATTGCTGCTGCTGCTGCTGTTGCTGCAACCAAGCCTGCTGTCTTATCCTCTGCTCCTCTGCCTGCTGCTGCCTCTCCTCTTTCCCGCCACCCTTCTCCTCCCCTCCACCCCCACCTCCTGCCCCACCGCTGACCTCAGCGATGACATCATCAATAAACTGGCTCTGCTTGCTGCGCACAAGGGCAGAGGAGGAGGGAGGCATGGGCGTCCCAGCCTGCACCAAGGGGGCTCCCTTCACCAGGCAGTACCCGGCCAGCAGGGCGGCTGCAGGGGAGGTTGTATCTGGGCAAGTGGCATCTGCGGGGGCGTCTGAGGGGTGCAGCGCCAGCCCGTGGTGCTCCACCAGCGCCTGTAGCTTTTCTGGCTCTTGCTGGCGGGGGGATGGGAGGGGGGGTGGGGGGGTGGGAGGGGGGGAGGGGAGACGGGGGAGAAAGAGGGAGGAAAGAGGAGCTGAGAGTGCTTGCAGGTAGTTTTCCTCCCAGGCAGGCCGTGGTGCTCCACCAGTGCACGCAGCTTCTTTGGCTCTTGCTGGACGGGGGGGGGGAATGGGGGAGAAAGAGAAAGGGAAAGAGGGGGGAGAGAGAGAGGGACGGGAGAAAGGAGGGGGGATGAGTGCTTGCTTGAAGTTTCCCTCCGTAGCCGTGGTGCACCACTAGTGCCTGTAGCCTCTCTGGCTCGTGCTGTGCAGGAGGTGTGGTGGAGGAAGGTGTAAGAGGGAGGGGAGAGGGGGGGGAGAGAGATGGAGAGGATGGGATACGGAGAGAGATGAGCTCTTGCTTGCAGCGTCCCTGCCAGGCCGTGGTGATCCACCTCCACCAGCGCCTGCAGCTTCTCTGGCTCTTGTTGGCAGAGGGTTTGGGGGAGCGAGAGGAGGGGAAGAAGAGAAAAGAGGACAAAGAGTGAATGGGAGGAAGTTGGGAAAGAGGAACCAGGATGAAGTGTTAAAGCAACCCGATACATCCATGCCGAGCCTGCAACCCGTACCTCCATGCCGAGCAAGCACCCCGTACCTCCATGCCGAACCTGTAGCCCATGGGCCATACCTCCATCAGAACATGTAGCCATACCTCCATGCCGAACCAGCACCCCGTACCTCCATGCCGAGCCAGTGTGCGAGTGTGAGGGCTGGCAGCTGCTGGCCCTTGGCGATGGACGCATACACCGCTGCCAGCGCTCTTGAACGCATCTGAGACAGGGGCAGAGGGAAATGTGGGGGAGGAATCGAGAGCGTATGGAGGGCAGATGGAGGGGAAGGGGGGAGGGGATGGAGGGGAGATGGAGGGGAGGGGGGGAGGGGATGGAGGGGAGATGGTGGGGAGGGGGGGAGGGGATGGACCGGAGAGGGGGGATGGAGGGAGATGAATCCATACATTGCTGCCAGCTCCGTGGAGCGCATCTGTGACAAGGGAGCGATAAAGAGGACGGAGAAAGAAGGGGGGAGCGTCGAGGCGTGTCAACACTGGAGTGTGAGTGCTGGCAGTTTCTGGCCCTTGGGGATGCCAGCCCTGGTGCACATCTGAGGCAGGGGAGGAGAAGGGGTAACAGGGGAAGAGGCGACGCATGCATAGGAGAAAGAAAAAGAGGAAACAACGACCGAGGGACGGGCAGAAATTGCGGGTAAAGTCTGAACGCGTGGAGCGCATGTGACAAGGGAAAGTGGGAGAGCGAGGGGCAGAGGAGCATCCTTACAGCATGCCGCCAACAGAAATGGCTGTGAGGGACTCAGCTCTTTCAACCAATCAGAATGGCGCGTCAACATGAAACTGGTTTGGACCAATCAGGAAACTATTCAGTAAGCCCTGCGAAGGTGGCGAGTACGAGGATCGCATGCCACGATTGAGCGCCACCCATTGACCGGCAAGATGTTCAATTTTGCACGGACCTTGCTGAAGTGCGCGTGCATGAGGCACATACCTTGCTGAAGTGAGCGTGCATGAGGCACATACCTTGCTGAAGTGCGCGTGCATGAGGCACATACCTTGCTGAAGTGCGCGTGCATGAGGCAGGCCTGCAGGTAGGTGGCCTGGCGAGCCAAGCGGAAAAATGCCACAAAGTTGTGCGTGCGACACGCCCTGAGAGGGGGACACAGAGGACAGGGAGGACCGGGAGGACGGGGAGGAAGAGGAGAGCAGGTGAAGTGAAGGTGAAAAGTGAGAACGCGAGAAGCAGAGACAAGAGACAAAAAAACAAAGTGTGCATCGAGGAAGGCGCCAGCGGAGAAGGCTTGTACACGGAGATATGCCCGTTGGCATGAGCAACAGAATGTACGACATTAGCCCAGTCGATAACGTGTGAGTGTAGCACTACAGGAGTTAGCGGCTGGCTAGCATACAAGGAAGTGACGGGTAACAAGCGCAAAGAGAACAGAACCTTGAGGTTAGCTGACAAGCTGCTCCACATGCTCTTATATTATACTATGCAGCCATCCAGCCACCAGCGCACTTGGAATGTTTGAAGAGAACTTACCTGGCAACGGAGCGAGCAAAGACGACTTCCGGGCTGCTCCTGACGATGTGCGGAAGGAGCGAGAGCTCCCTCGCAAACTCTGCCGGCTCAACCTGTTACAGTCACAACAATCACCCACACCAGCGAGCGTGCACTAGAGTCACTTGGGTGGGCCTCTGCGAGACATCATGTTCAGGCAAGATGCACCATCCATCCATCTCGGCTCATGTCCAACCCAATGGATCACACTTGTGCTGCGACCCCTTTTTCCTAGAAGAGCAATCTGTTTTTCTTCTTGTAATGAATCCACTAGAAGTATCAAAAACGCAGTGGTCATCAAAAGCTCATAGTCCCTTCCCTACTGACCGACTCACATTGAACCCTGGGTGGCCGTCGATCTTGAGAAGCAGATAGTGCCCCCTCAACACTCCCTCCTGCGCCAAACACGTCTCCACTCCGCCCCGTCCCCACCCTCGCACGCCCACGCGCACGGTCGGAGCGGCGGTCATCGTGGTACATGTGAACGAGGTCCACACACGCCATGTTCATCACGATGCAGCATCACATCACATGCACACCGCCCCGCCCCGGCCCGCCCCGGCTCGCCCCGCCCCACCCCCCCCACAACTCACATTGAACCCCGGATGCCGGTCAATCTTCAACAGGAGGTAGTACCCCCTCAGCTCCCCCTCATTCGCCAAACACGCCTCCAACTCCACCACCTCCCCCTCCTCCCCGCCCTCGTCCTCGCTCGCCCGCGCCTGCGCGTGCGAGAGGTCAGCGCGGCGGTCGTGGTACATGTGGAAAAGGTCGACACACGCCTTGTTCATCTGCTCGATGTTCAGGTGCGCGTCAAAGCCGTCGCTGAAGCCCTCGCCCTTGGGGTACTCGCACAGCTCATGCATCGCCACTATGTGGAAGCGCACCTGAGGAGGGAGGGCGGTGGGGGGGTGAGGCGGAGACAGAGATGAGCACGGAGAGAGGGAGAGGTAGGAGAGAGCCCCCCCACACAGCTCGTGAATGGTTACAATGTGGAAGCACACCGAGAGACGACTGGGGACGGCGAAAGGGGAGGGGAGCGGGGAGAGCAGCGCAACGACCCGACACTCAACCACTGTGCAGGCGTACATGACCACGTCGGGCACAACCACTGGTCGGGCACAACCACTGGTCGGGCACAACCACTGGTCGGGCACAACCAGTAAGACGGCTTTCAAGTACCATCTATTCACCTGTGAGCAGAGACAGCAGCCATGTCTCACTCACCATCTGCTCGTGCATGTTGATCGCCTCTCGTCCAAACAAGTGCTGCATGCGCAGGTCAGCGCGCACAGCCCTCATGCGATCCCACAGGAACGAGTGCAGCAGCAGCAGCCGCATCCCCGGCCCCCTCTCGCCCCCGGGCCCCCCTGCCCCCCCTCCTTCCTCCCCCACGCCTTCCCCCTCCATCTCCCCCTCCTCCGCGCCCCCCTTGGCCGCGGAGGGCGGGGGAGGGAAGGGGACATGCAACAGGGAGAGCATGTGTGCCATGGTGGTGTGGAGCACGGGCATGGGGCGGATGAACGAGGGGTCCATGTTGGGCGCGCGGGAGTACTGAGTTGGGACGGGGGAAAGGGTGGGGAAGGGAGGAGTGGGGAAGGGGAGGAGAGGGGGAGGAGGGACGGAGAGGTGAAGGGGGGAGCTGGAGGGGGTAGAAGGTGTTTCGGAGAGTGCAATGCAGCACGGGCAACGCGAGTGCTAGTTGAAGTGGGGTAAGGGAGGGTAAGAAGAGAGAGTGGGTGGGGAAATAAAACGGTGGATGCGGGAATGGTGGACAGTGGCAGTGTGTTTCCTCCCTTGTATGCATACCCTCTCCCCCCCCTCCCCCCACACGTCTTAACCTTCTTTACCGCCAACTGTGCATTCGCCTTGCTGCGGTCTTCGTTGGGATGTGAGTGAGGTAACACACTGCCACTGCAACTGTGGCGAAGGGCAGCGTTCTGTCCTGTGCATTCGTCCTTCTACTGCGGCCAATGGTGGACAGTGGCAGTGTGACTGTGAAGGGGGCTGAATGCGGGAATGGTTGACATAGGTGCTGTTCCCACCCCCCTTCACACTCGAATGGTCCTTGCACCCTAAACCCTCACACTCACACTCACATTCCATCCCCACCTTCTTTGTTAGAAATAGGTTGTCAACTTTTTTTGTACTCTATTTTATATGCTGTAGATAATTTGTGGTGTAGATTTGTAATCCCAGCCCTATCCGGTTGGGGTTCCCCCGTAATCCAACAAATCTGCCAACTCACCATTGGAGATTTGCTTGGATTCCCATCCCATCCTTTCCCTAGCTTTACTCAACCCAGCCTTGCTTGTACTTAAGGCCTAGTGCCTTCTTTTCTAATCGAATAGTTAAGCCCCATTTCTATCATTCTTCACCACAGCACACCTTCTTGATGGCCAGCTGTGCATTGGTCCTGCTGCGGTCCCCGTTGACCCGCTCAAACACATCCAGCGCCCCGCTGCGCTCCCGTACCTCCCTCTCGTGCGCTGACGGGGGAAGAGAGTGGGGGGGGGGAGGGGGACGGGACGGTAGGGGAGAGGGGGAAGAGCGATTCTCATTAGTCGACTCACAAAGCGCCCCACGGCGCTCACGCACCCTTCTAGGGATGAGCAAGGGGAGGAACACCTGTTCGGTTCGCCTCGAACACGTTCGAGGCGAACCGAACAGGTTTATTTTTTTGGCTTAAATGGTTCGCCGAACGTGTTCGAGGTTCGCCCGAACACGCCTTCATAGGCGAACGGCGAACACTTGTGTCGGCGGAAATCGTTCGCCGAACCGAACAGTGTTCGGTTCGGCTGTTCGAGCTGTTCGACAGAGGACGAACTCGAACCTGTTCGAGTTCGGCCTCTGCTCATCCCTACACCCTTCCTCCTGGAAGACAGAGGGGGAAGAGGGAGAGGGGAGGGGGGCGGGGGGAGGGGGGACGTTATGAGTCAACTCGTAAAGAGCCCTATTGCGCTCCCCCACCTCCTCTCGTAGGGTGATGAGGGGAGACGAAAAGGGGGGGAGGAGGGGAGAGAGGGGGGAAGTAGGACAGTGCCCTTCCTCACCTACCTCTCGCACGCTGGGAGAGTGGGGGGGGGAGGAAGGGGGAGGGTTGGGGGGAAGAGTGAGGGAGGAGAGAGAGGTAACGAAGGGGAGGAAGGGGGAAGACGAGGAGAAGGAAGTGGGGAACAAGGGGGAACCGACGGTCGGGGAAGAGGAGATGAGAGGGGAGGAAGAGAGGGGGAAGGAGGATTGCAGGAGAGAGAGGAAAGACGAGGGGGAGGAGGGGGGCCAGGGAGAGGGAGGAAAAGAGGGTGGTTTACTAGGAGCACGTGCGTTGCTGCGTGTGATGTGTGACAGCACACGCAAAGATAGCTCCGTTTCCCAGCCCCACCTGGGCCACCACCCACATTGAAGATGATCCTACCTACATGCACCGGCCAACCTGCATGCCAGCGCAGGCACAGAGACATACCGGGCACATGTCAGGGCATACGCATACCAGGGCACATGTGGGGCACAAGGGGGGGCATAACATGTGTACACACCAGGGCACATGTCAGGGCATGTTCCCACAACCGCCTCTGCCAGCTGCCAGTCCGCCTCGTCCCCTGCCCCTTCCCCCTCTTCCATGCCCCCTCCCCCGCCCGCGGCCATCCCAACCCCTCCCCCTCCTCCCCCTCCTCCTCCTCCTCCTCCTCCTCCCCCCCGCCCCCCTCCGACATCTTCACCCCCTTCCCCGCCCTTCCCCCCATCCTTCCCCTCCTCTGCGCCATCCCCCAGCGCCACCTCCCCAAACCTCGCTCTGCGCCGCGCCAGCGCAGCAGCGTCCCCAAGCAGGCTGGCAAAGCCGCCACCGGGGGGGCGCGCGCGCGGGGGGGAGGGGGACTGCTGCGCGGATCTGGGGAGTGGTGGCGATGGGGACCGGTTTGCTGGCGTCAGCGCGGGGAAATCAGCCGGCGAACTGCGGAGCACAGGAGAATAGGGCCGAGGGGAAGGGGAGAGGAATGGGGGGAGGGTGAGCTGAGAACAAGATGGTGTTTCAAGGGGACGGGAGGAGCGCATGGGCGGAACAGGGAAGGGGTGTTCGGGGTGGCGGAAAGGCGGAGTTGGGGAACGGGGAGCAGGGAAGGGAAGGAGATGACTGGAGGAGGAGGCGGGAGGAGCGAAGGAGGAGGCCATAGGGAAGGGCCAGGCAAGACGGTAGATTACGCCGAACTCGGGGGACGAAAAGGCGGGGCCGAGCCGCGGCGCACGTGCGAGAGGGCCGCAGGGGACTATGGGAAGGAGCGCGAGCACTGGGCGGTGACGCGACGCGGCGATGAGGCGACGACGACTAGACGCTCAAGCAGAGGGAACGCACTTCAGATTGCTCGCCGGTTGCTGCGGCTGCGACCTCCCGCCTCCCCCCCATACGATGCTGGGCGCAGATCCGCCTCCCCCAGCTGCAACCTGCGCGCCTCCCACGGTCACCGCGCCTCCCCCAGTCACCCCGCCTCCACCGGCAACAGCCTGCGCCCACGAAACAGGTCCCGCCGGCGGAAACGTTGTGGGCGCGCCTCTGCTGGCGAAGGGCGGCTGATTCTCCATGAGGGGCGGAACCGGCAACGACTGGGACGAGGGAAATTGGAACACGCGACGGTTGGGATGTCAACGAGCCGGACACGACACGGCTGGCGACAAGCTATGTCTTTTTTTAGAAACGTCAAGAACGCATTCAGCAGGACACGAAACGGCTAGCGACAACCTACGTGTGCATGCTCCCGTGCGCCGAGTTCAATGCGACGATCCGCATTTCTGCTGCCGACGCTGACGAGTTGATCCTACTAACGATACCGCCTGCATCTGCAGTGTTGGGCTAGGTGTGGGATCGTTTCGCTCTCTCGTCGTTTTCAATTCGTGGGTGAGAGCGGTGAACCATGGTTGCGGGATTTAGGGTGCCCGCCTGTTCGGAAGACCTAAAACCAGGAGCGTCGCCTCGAGTCATTTGTGATCAATGGTGCTGTTCGCCAGCAAATCGCATTTTTAATTGAAAACGATGGCATCAGCATCGCGACCGCATATGGAAGGGGGGGCGGAACCCTCCTCCGAGGTTTGGGCGAAATGCCGCCCGAGAAACTACGCGCGCCCGAAAGGCGAAATTTCGCAACCGCATCGGGAAGGTCCATCCCCACCTTCCCCCCAATGGCGCGAAATTTGTTCGTCACTGACCCGCGTGCTGCCCGCTGGCCAAAAATTTCACAACTTGGGTATAAAACGCAAATAAAACACACCCCGCTTAAAACGAGGGTCTAGATTTGACAAGCGGAGGTTCAGAAGTTTTTGTTCTGAACCAGGCTTGCCAGCGCGAAGGTGTTGGCTGGCGAAAATCTGGAATTCGTGCGGGGAATTTTCCTCCGCAGTAACTGGTCGCCAGGGTTTAGGGGTTCGGGTGGCAAATGTGCACCGTCGCTTTAAACACAACTCCCCCCACCTCGTCCTCATGCCCAGACACAACTCACAACACAAGTTATGTGCGGGGGGCATTTCGAAGGTGTGTTTGGGAGGGAAAAAATGGGGGGGTATACGAACCCCCCTTTGTAAAACTTCAGGCTTGTTCAAGGGTGACCCTCTGAAATGCATGTGTCGTTTGTGCCATCGCTGTGCTTTGAACAACGCGGTATGTCGATGGCATGGCTAGGGGATGGTGTTTTGCCTGGGGAGGAAGTTTCGTCCCCGCTTCCATATGCCGTCGAAACGTTAAAATTGGTGTACAAAAGTGGGCGTTCGCCAGACGCCCAGTTTGTTAATTGGTTTGGACGGTGGGTGAGGCTCGGCACTTTTTTCACGGGCTGACCAAGCTGACGGAGGTTAACGAACTCTAACTGACGGGATCAGGAAGGCGAGACCCACCTTCCTGATCCCGTCGTTATCCCGTGATTTTTATGTATAAAGGTGCTGGCGAACAGCCCCAATGTGATTTGAGGCCGCAAAGCGACGGGATGGAAATTTGATCAAGCACTTTACGTGTTTTAGGTCGGTTAATCAATGTTCAGATACGGTTTAGCAGACTTTCAAAGGTGTTTAAATATGATCCTCAAATTGTGGAATTTACTGCTTTCAACGCAATTCCCAAGTCGGATCGTGCCCAGTACATGAGCACCACCAACACAGCGGCTGCGTTCTGCAGCCATCTCCCTTGGGAGGGAGGTGGGGGGGGGAAGGGAAATGACGAGGGTTCCGAGGCAGTTTCCCCTTCGAATCCCCCCCCCTCCCCGCTACAACCGAAAGGTGGAAATTTCGGGTTTCGGGTGCGAAGCTGCTGAAGGTAAATGCCGAAAATACAGCTACAATTTCCTACGCACTGAAATTGGGTAGAGAGAACTGGGCGAACACAGAAAAAGGGTTGAAGTCTACCAGAGGGCTACCACGTCGAAAAAAAAAAAACGCACTCGAGCTCTCCCTTCAGCAAACCCTAAACTTCTCGGTTGGAGGAGGTTTATGGCTTCTGTTTTTTTAACCTCGGTTAACGCGTCCCTGGCTGGGCTACTGAAGGGAGGGGCTGTTTGCTAAGATGGGTTGAACCGTGGTGTTCCCTAACCCAACGCCTCCCTCCCCCCTCCGTCCCACAACCAGGGCAGGAGCAGTTTTCGAAAGGGGGGAAGAAGGGGGCATACTTTGCCAGAGAAGGAAGCTGCGGAGGGGAAATAGGCAGCTTCCTACGCCCTCATACCCTCGAAGGTAAATGGCTGTTCTGTTGCCATTTACCTTCGGAGGGTAAATGGAGGCTCGGATCCATTTTCCGGGCTGACCGGGCGTTTGATCCAAAAAACGCAGTTGGGGGAAGGTTCCTATTTACCGCCTCCCCCCCCTCTGTCGTGCCTGCAGAACGCAGCCAGCGTTATCTAAATTAGGTCACGTCGTTGTCAGGGCGAGGAGAAATGATGGAAGCTTGGCCGTCCAAGAGCGGAATGGAAATGGACAGTCATAATATCACTTACGCGTCGGCCTGATCAGCGGCCGTCGTCGGCTCGTCATTCAGCCCCACGATAAGCGTGATTGGTCGCGTCATGCCTCGCCCACGACGGCCTAGGTGTACTGACGAAAATCTAGAGATTGTACTTAGCAGTAACGCACGTGCATAAGGCGGTTGAGTTGAACCGGCTGGAAGATGACGAGATAGTGAATGCACAAATCGTTCCGTGAGGTGTGCGCTTACTTCCGCCGCTCCTCCTCCACCTCCCTCGCGCCTGCTACCTCACCATGCCGTACGTTCCTCCGCATAGGCGAGCCGGCGCAGCCGGTTCCACTACCGGTCTGCTTCTACCGAATCTGCTTCCATGCCACCTTGCCTTAGGTCAAGGCCATGGAGGCTCGACGTTTGGTTCGGGAAACAGGTTCGGGGGACGAGGCCGAGGCAGGAGCCGCGTTCAGCTTTGGGGACGAGGCAGCAGTTCTTCGTTAAGAATGAAACCGTTAGATTCCCTTAGTGTTGTCATCCAAACCCTAGTTGATGATTATTTCCTGCAGAAGCCATCCGTATCAGAGCCTGCTTGTAAAGGGGACTGTTCTTGTAACGGGGGAAGCGCTCAGTACAACCGAGTGGTGCTCAGGTTCGAGCGGTTTATGGGAATAGGCCACCACGGGGAACGAAATCTTGCCACGTTAAGACTAGCTTCTGAAACAGACGGTCATGACACTGCCAAACAACCTGAAGATTCTTCTGCACCTTATTCTTCTTTCTCCTCACCACACACTCTCCCTCCCTCTTCTTTACCCTCCTTATCCGCCTCCATAATGGGCATGCTCCGTAAGGCGTTAGAGGCATCTCATAGAGACATGCACGTGGGTGGGCAGCCTCGGATAGGGCACCCCCGAGTGGTGGATCGGTGCAAGCTGGCAGTGTCGCTCGTCAAGATGCTCTTCAAACCGCCTGGAGACTGCCCACCGTACGTGCGTGCGCGTGGCGGGATGTTGCGCTGCGTGTGGGACAACGCGCGTGGTTTGGTTGGCTGGCATCGTGTGATGATGCCAAAATCAGATGCAAACTACACCTCTTTGTATCACTTAGTCAATAGATCAAAGTAAAGAACGGGCACACCTGGGCTGGTCCTTAATGTGGGGTTTTCTATTCTCCTCCTCCTGGGCAATATCCCAATGTCCAGGTCTCTCCTGCCCAGTGTACCGCCCTTCACAGCGAGAGCATTTGAAGCGCATGTGAACCAGCAGGCACGTCACTTGCCGGTGCGCGTGTCCCATATCTACGACAAAGGCTTCCCGGAGACTGTGCTCAAAACTGTGGAGGGCATTGCATTGGAGGAGGGGAGCAGGAGGCCAGGCACCAAGAGATGCTACCATCTGCGGGTATGGTTTAGTGCTTGTGAGTCGACTCAAAAGTCTTCTACCGGTATGCGTTTGTTCTTAAGGCCGCTTGGCTTGTTAAGAGGCTGTGACCTTACAGGATGCGTGGAGGTGAATATCAGTAAAGGCACGTCGGCATGACTCACGCAGTAGTTGTTTTGAATGCACGACTTGTGGTACAAGGAAAGGTAGAGGGTACAGCGTTCTGCACTTATAGAGACTGAATCTCAACTTCTACGTGCTTCCTGTATCTTGTGGCTGACCCTCCGTCGTTGTACCTATGTACGCTTCACCATACACACTACCACTGCATACTGCGTACGTAAAGATCGTCTCCCATGCATCCACTATCTCAGTGCCTCTTCTTCTATCCCCCGTGGGTTACAACACAGATAAGGGACACCAACACTGGCAGAACATACAAGTTGATTTGTGTGCCTCACCCTGACGGTGCAGGAATTATTCTCACCAAGGTGCGTCTCACAGCCATCTGTTTCTCACACACTCCATGTTCAAATCTTTCCCGCACATCTAACCTTTCAACACGACATCTAACCTTTCAACACGCGACCACCTCTTCTCCTAACCACCAAATTCCAACAGCTTCTCTCCCGCTGTCTGCTTCATCCCCTTCACCAAACCCCGGTCCCAACAGGTCATGTGCAACTCGACGCGCTACGCGGTCATTGACATCGCCCGTCCCGCCAAGGCAGTGGATCTCCGCGTCTTCTTCCGCAAGGAGTCCCGCCTCTGCTCGCTCGACGTGCGTGTCGAGGGGAAGGGAGGGGGAGGGGGGGGTGGGGGGGGAAGAGGGGGTGAGTTTGTGGGGAGGGATGGGGGTGTGGGTGGGTGTGGGGGATGCTGGGTAGGCCTAGACTAGATGCGGTGGATCTCCGCGTCTTCTTTCGTAAGGATTCCCGCCTCTGCTCGCTCGTCGTGCATGCCAGGGGTTGGGAGATGTGGTGAGGGCATCACCGCATGTTTCTCTGCAAGCAGTCTTTCTAGTCTGCTCACATCCGCGTGATGGGTGAGGCCCAGGGGGTGAGAACGTGACTGTGAAGGGGGAAAGGGTCGAGACATGCTCTGCTGATTTCATTTGTATGTGTGCATACTCTTGTGCTGGCTATGATATCAACCTCTAACATGTTGCGATTTCATTTGTATGCATGCATGCTCTTGTGCTGGCTGTGATCACATGCACACATGTGCACTCTATCTAACGTCCCCTCGATTGTGATGCTCGTGTTTTTCATCCCCTCTTACACCACCGTGGCATCGCAATCAGGTCAGGCTGAGTGGTTCAGAGCCTGGCCCTCTTGCACAGGCATATGTGATATTTGTTTTGGGCCTTCTTCTTCCATGTTCTATACACCACACCACCATTCCACCCAAACCCCCCTCCCTCTCCTCCCCCCCCCTCGCCAGGACGCCATTCAGGCTGCTTTTGAGCGCATAACATCGACGTCACTCATTTGACAGCGTCCCAAAGTAAGTTCTGACTCAACTCGCCCCACCCCCCACTCCCCCCCTCTTCCCCCGACTCCCCCCCACTCCCCCCCCCCTCTCCCCTCCCCTCCTCTCCTCACCAGGATGATATGCAGGCTGCCTTTGAGCGCATAGCATCCGCGGCCGTCATTGACAGTACCTCAGGCTGGCTGCTGCACTGGCCTTGCACCCCAGACCTTGACCTAGATACTATCCTAGTAACACCCCCCTCGTCAGCTGCATCACCATCGGCTAGTCGTTTTGTTCTCATGGGAGTGTGGCACATCAGGTCACGGGTGATTGCAGGAGAGCGCCTCACATGGAAGCTGAATGAGATGAATGTGCTCATGCTGTTCCAGCCTGAAGGCGTGGTCACCAGCATCAGTGTTTTCCCAAGCTGTTGGGGGGAGAACATGAAGGTATGTCCCCCATCCAAATCTGCTTTTATGTCGTGTCTTTTTTGGATTAGATCGCAGGATGCAGTTAATTGGTTTTCTAAATGATCGAGTCGGGACCTTTTTTCAAGCTTTCTAAACAACAAATTGTGGGGATTAAAAACTAAGCCTTGGGGGTAGTTTAAGGGTACATTCATGTGGAGACACTTGTGTCTCAACCCCCATTTTCCCAAGTCGCCTGTAAACATTTTAGCAATCTCGCGTCACAAAAATTGGATGTATCACGAAACTGTGCGACCGGGCGAAATTTACAGCTGTGCATGTTTGATTGGATTTTAAACATGACCGCCTGGTTCGGGTAGGGTTTTGACGAGCGAAACTTTTTCCCGCGCGAGATCTTCATTGTGGGGTGTCCAGGTACATTGACATTTCGAACCGCGTACGAAGTGACGGGTCAATATGCGACTCTCCGCGACGTCAGCGCGTTTCACGCTGACCAATGAAAAATACAGTAACGGTCGCACAAGGGCGACACGCTTTTGAAACATTGTACGTTTAATGCTCTTTTTCCGCGTCACAAAAGGGTTGAGACACAAGTGTCTCCACAGAAATGTACCATAAGCCCTGGGAGTTGCTTTCTCCATGTGGTTTACATGTGTTTATTTGTGTGGCTGGTATGGCGCTCTTGTACTCCTTTCGTGATCCTCCTGTGTACTTCATTCACAAGCCACTCTCAGGGGTAACAAGTTTTATCAATATTGGGTCATAAGAATAAGCTTGAACAATATCCATTGCAAGAAATATGTGCGCTTTTACAGTACTGTTGTTTTTTGTCCCTGGTTGTTTGTTTGGTATTGTTTGGTCTTGTTTCCCCCTTCCAGTCACTGAGCTCCACTCCTCCATGTGCCTTGTTTCGTTGACGCCGTTAATAACCGATGCAGTGTTATGAGAAGCCGGAGCCAGGCCCGACAACTTCCCCATAGCCCATCAAATCAACATCGTCTGCCTACTCGGCTGCAGCCTGCTTTGACTCGACCTTGCAGCAGGCACCACCAAATTGGACTCCGGAGAGCATCCTCTCAGAATGTCCTGCCCTTTTCGACTTGCTGCAGCAGCACCTGCCATAGAGCAACACCTTTATCAGAGCAACACCTCGATGCTTTGAACGTAAATTTGCCTGCAAACTCTAATTTTTGACTTACCCCTAAGGGCTTGGTCATCCTCACACAGTTATAAGACCCCTTTCTGCATAAGAGTCCAGGGCAACTCGCTTTTCACTAGGTCCGTAACAGCGATAAATAGATTGTAAGTATAAGGGCGTGTGTACTGGGGGTTCGAACTTTTGCATAAGTTCAAACTTTTAACGAGGTTCTACGCGGTAGCATGCGGTTGAGAGACGTGTCGTACCGGTGCAAAGCGGTTAATGTTCGAACTTTGACAACTTTATCCAAAAATGCACACGCCCTAACGATGACATATTGTTTTAATATTTAATACTGGCCTTCCGTAACCAAGTACAAGTACCCTTATGTGGAGTACGCGGTCACACGGTAAACTATGGGCTTTCCTGTGCATAGCAGATGACGTAATTCGCGGGGTTTAGGAACATCCCGAGCGCTTCCGTCACTGCAAGTTGAGCAATAAAATCTACGCTCAATGACAGCAACTCGTGAGTGTGGTTCAGGGTGACTGCTGCCTCCTCGCCTGCCCTCGCACCTCGCGGGGGCTCATGTCGCCGAGGCACCCCTCCCTCGACGCTCCTCCCCTTCAATTATCGGTCGCGGGCGCGCCACTCCTAGTCGCTCCCCGCCTCGTCGCGCCTCCCCCCCAGTCGAGCCTCCCCTCAATTCGTCGCGCATCCCCCCCATTCGTCGTGCCTCCTTACTTTCGTCGCGCCTTCACACCCTTATCGCGTCTCATTGTTGTGCCTCCGGCCTTTACACCTTTCCGCGCCTCCCCTCGTAGCGCCTCCCCTCGTAGCGCCTCCCCTCGTAGCGCCTCCCCTCGTCGCGCCTCCCCTCGTCGCGCCTCCCCTCGTCGCGCCTCCCCTCGTAGCGCCTCCCCTCGTCGCGCCGTCCCTTTCCTTCCCTTCCCGTCGCTTCCGTTCCTTCCTCACCAGCCTTCACGCCTGCACTCTCCTCCATTGAAATCCTCTCCTTTGTTGTGCTGAACTGATGATGATGCTCAAATTTGCGTGATCCCACCTGTTACATATTCGGTGCTCCCCTCACCGCTTTCTAGAATACACTTGCTCTACCCTACCCCCTCATACCCCGTCCCAACATGCATGTCCGTCAACAGATTTGACGGACTCTTGTCTCATTCTGCTACCTCCCCTGCCCAGTGTTGCTATTCTGTTGCCCCCCCACTCCCACCCCCACGCCGCCGTTCTGCTTCCATTTATGAAGAAAGCTGCAGCTCTCTTGCCTCATGTCCATCTCCCATTCGAGGAAAACCAAGAGTGCCCCCTTTGCTCCCCTTCCTCCCACTGCTTCCAAATGCATAGGTTGATTTGATTTTCGAGGCCCTGTAACCGACCCTTGCTTCACCGACCCTTGCTTCACCTACCCCAGCCCGGTTAACCGGTGAGAGAGCAAAGAAGAATCAGAAAGCTATTGGGTTAACTTAAGAGTATGTTCCAGGCAGCAAGAGAAGAACCCGTATCTGTTTAGTGTGAGAGTTGGAGAACCTTCCGAGACAAAGTGCATTGGTCCCTCTGTGCCCTCGGTCAGTCCTACCTACCTTCGCTCCCATCCCCCTGACCTCTTGCACGCCGTGGTCTGAAGCACCCTCTGCCCTCTGAACACCAGATTCACGACGCCCAGCCTCCTGCCGGCCTCACACCATGCGGTCGCTCTTCCTCCCATTGCCCACCGCTCGCAGCCATGGAGGTAATCGAGGAGAAGGACGCCATGCGGCAGTGGTCGCGCAGGCAGCACCGTGAGGGGCGCACCGTGGCACTGGTGCCCACCATGGGGTATCTGCACGAGGGCCACCTGTCGCTCGTGCGCCTGGCCGCCTCGCTGGCGGACGTGGTGGCGGTGTCCATCTACGTCAACCCCTCGCAGTTCGCGCCTCATGAGGACCTCCTTTCCTACCCACGCGACCTCCCTCGCGATCTCGCTCTTCTCAAGGTGCGCTTCTCAAGGTAAGGTATGCCACGCCTGGCGGCCACGTCTGGCAGCCTCGCTGGCGGACGTGGTGGCGGTGTCCATCTACGTCAACCCCTCACGGTTCGCGCCGCACGAAGACCTCCTCTCGTACCCGCGCGACCTCGCCCGCGATCTCGCACTCCTTAAGGTACAGTACACCCTCCTAACCCCCTGTCCCTCCCTCCCGTCCCCACCCAGTGTGACTGGAGGCTTGCTGGGCAAGCCGTAGCTGCAAGCACTCACCCCTGCCCACGCTCTCGTGTTCGTTCAACCGTGATACAAGGCAGGAGAGTAGCAAAGCTCATCTCCTGCCCTCTCTCCTCACCCCCTTCCCTTTCCGTGCACCTAACTCTTCTCTGTCAACCGCCGCCCCTCAGGACCTGCCAGTGGCAGCAGTGTTTACCCCAGCGGACCTCTACCTGCGCCACCGCATTCAACTACCATGCACCAAACCCTTCCCTTTCCACTTCCGCCCACAGGATCTCCCAGTGGCAGTGGTGTTTACCCCCGCTGACCTCTACCTGCGCCCGCTCTACACACCCCCCGACCAGCGCCACGCCGTCGCACAGCCCCCTGCAGCAGCAGCGCCCGCCCCTGGCTCTGCCGAAAGCGCAGCGACAGCAGCAGCGACAGCAGCGGCGGCGGCGGGGCACGAGACGTGGGTGACGGTGGAGCGGCTGCAGCGGCCACTGTGTGGGGGTGGGCGGCCGGTGTTCTTCCGCGGCGTGGCAACGGTGGTGGCGAAGCTGCTGCATATTGTGGAGCCTGACGTTGCTGTTTTTGGCAAAAAGGACTACCAGCAGTGGCGGCTCATCCAGCGCATGGTGAGTGGATGGAACAGGGGGGGGCGTGGCGACAGTGGTGGCGAAGCTGCTGCATATAGTGGAGCCCAATGTTGCTTTTTTTGGCAAGGACTACCAGCAGTGGCGCCTCATCCAGCGCATGGTGAGTGGAACAGGGGGGGGGGCGTGGCAATGGTGGTGGTGAAGCTGCTGCATATAGTGGAGCCCGATGTTGCTGTTTTTGGCAAGAAGGACTACCAGCAGTGGCGCCTCATCCAGCGCATGGTGAGTGTTAAGGTGATTCAAAAGGTTGCTGCTGTTCTTCCGTGGCGTGGCAATGGTGGTGGTGAAGCAGAGCTGCTGCACATTGTGGATCCGGATGACTGCTGTTTGTCAAGAATGACAAGAATGACTGCACATTGTCGTGTTTGGCAAGAATGACTGCCGTGCTGTGCTGGGGCGCTCTGCTCCCCCATGACCCCCCCGCCCAGGTGCGCGATCTGGGCATGGCGGTGCAGGTGGTGGGCACGCCTCTTTTGAATCGACTCAACACTCACCTTCCCTCCCCCCCCCTCTCTCCCCTCACTGCTGCTCTGGTGCCCCAGGTGCGCGATCTGGACATGGCGGTGCGGGTGGTGGGCGCGCCACTGCTGCGCGAGGCGGATGGGCTGGCCATGAGCAGCCGCAACGTGCGCCTCTCACCGGAGCACAGGATGCAGGTGAGGCGAGGCCAGGCAGGTTCAGTGTGTTGGGCAGTGAGAGCATGGCACCTAGAAGGCGGATGGGCTGGCCATGAGCAGCCGCAACGTGCGCCTCTCACCGGAGCACAGGATGCAGGTGAGGCGAGGCCAGGCAGGTTCAGTGTGTTGGGCAGTGAGAGCATGGCACCTAGAAGGCGGATGGGCTGGCCATGAGTGTTAGAATCTATCTTCTTGTGTAACCTGCATAGATGTTATAGGTTAGGCTAGAGTTAAGCACCCAAACTCAGTTTGGGTGTACAAACAAGGGTCACCCAGTTTGTAGGTTGGAAACCCAACCTTGGTCCAATTATTGGACCCCAAAGGTTGGGTTGGGTAGAATTATTGGTTCACTCCAATAATGTTGGCCCAACTCCAACTTGGCCAACATTATTGGACCCCACCAATAATCCCCCAACCCAACTTCTTGGTTGGGGTCCAATAATGCTCACCTAGGCTAGGATCCAACCCACTCCCTATGTAAACCCCCAATCTCCTCAATTCAATCATCAACTTCTCTTCAAACTATTGTTCTCACATGGTATAGAGCTCTTAATTCCTAGGCCTTCTCTATTAAGTTTTCAAAGGCCACTACAACCCCGGCCTTCTTCCTCATTTTTTTTCGCGGCCATCTTGCCGCCCTTCCCCTTTCATCAAGCGCTCCCTTCCTCGCAGGCCCGCGGCCTCCCACGCCGCCAAGGCTCGCACCACTCCCCCCCCCCTCCCCCCCTTCCGCGGCCCCATCACCGCTTCCGCGCTCGCCTCGTCGCGGTCCCGCCGACCGCTGCCGCTCGCGCCTCTCCGCGGCCTCGACGCCGCCTCCGCGCCGACTCCGCCGCGGCCTCGCCAGCCGCTGCCGTCCGCGCCGCTCCCTTCCGCGGCCTCGTCGCCGCTTCCGCGCCGACTCCGCCGCGGCCTCGCCAGCCGCTGCCGTCCGCGCCGCTCCCTCCCGCGGCCTCGACGCCGCCTCCGCGCCGACACCGCCGCGGCCTCGCCAGCCGCTGCCGTCCGCGCCGCTCCCTCCCGCGGCCTCGTCGCCGCCTCCGCGCCGACTCCGCCGCGGCCTCAGCCGCTGCCGTCCGCGCCGCTCCCTCCCGCGGCCTCGTCGCCGCCTCCGCGCCGACTCCGCCGCGGCCTCCGCCGCTGCCGTCCGCGCCGCTCCCTTCCGCGGCCTCGTCGCCGCCTCCGCGCCGACTCCGCCGCGGCCTCGCCAGCCGCTGCCGTCCGCGCCGCTCCCTCCCGCGGCCTCGTCGCCGCCTCCGCGCCGACTCCGCCGCGGCCTCAGCCGCTGCCGTCCGCGCCGCTCCCTTCCGCGGCCTCGTCGCCGCCTCCGCGCCGACTCCGCCGCGGCCTCAGCCGCTGCCCGCCGCGGCCTCTCCCTCCCTCGGCCTCGTCGCCGCCTCACCTCCCCCCGTGACCACTGCAGGCCCACCCGCAGCCGTCCTCCATGGCTACCGCCACACCCTCCCCCGTCCCCCTCCCTCCACCTATTGACACCTCCGCCGTCGATAAGCTGCAGCTCGCCGCAGACAAATCCGCCATTAATTGGCACTCCTTCGTCGGCAGCATCCGACGGGTCCTCTCCGATGCGTGGGTCCTTGATGTCCTCCTCCGCCGTCCCCATGCACTCCCCCCCACCGAACCTGACCACCCGGGCGAGACTCCCCCTCTCCCTCCCTCTCCCGGCGATCCTCCTCTTGAACCCGACCTCCAACTCACCGCCGACCAAGCCACGGCCGATACAGACTTCATCCTACGCCGCCGTGCGTACCTTATCAAGAAAGCAGAGTACGATGCAGCAGTCGAAGCCTATGACCAGGCAGTTACCGGCCGCAACGCTCACCTCGCCGTCGTCGCCAAATACCAAGCCGACATGGCCACCTACACCCCGAAACTTATCGCCTGGACAACTGCTGACACTCGTGCCTGCACCGTTCTCCTTGGGGCTCTCCCTGACTCTCTCATGCGCCGCTTCCAGGCTCGAGAGCTCCGGGCCTCGGTCATCTGGGCAGAGCTCCATGCGATGTTCGAACGCCGCGACATCAGCTCGGTCGGCATTCTGTTTCAAGAATACTTCTCAATCACCCTTGCTACCTGTGACGGAGCGGTCGACTACATCGGCCGCATGCGGGAGGTAGCTGACCGCCTCGAAGCCCGCCAAGCCGGCCTCTCCGAACCCCTCCAAATCCATCGCCTCCTGTTTAACCTCACTCCCGACTATGAATCCCGCCTTCACGCCTTTACTGAAGCCAATCCCATGGCTGACCTCGCCTCCGTTGAACAGTGGATCATAGACACCGAAGTCAAACTTCGCACCCCCGTCGTCAACCTCGCCTCCTCCCAACCCTCCTCCTCCTCCCTCAACGCTACTCAGCCCCGCAAGCAGGGCAAGCACAACGGCAAGGGGGGCGGTGGAGGCAAGGGAGGTAGCGGTCCCGGCGGCAGCAGCGCGAGCAGACGTGGCGGTACCACTGGGGATGAGCACGGCACCACCACCACAGGCGGAGCTCCTGCAAGCAGCGGCGGTCGCCCCGGTACTCTTCCGCCCTGCACCTATGTTCGCCGCTATGGCCCCCGGGCTGGAACACCCTGCGGACAGACCAACCATCCCCCTGCCACCTGCTTCAAGGCCCTCGATGATGCTTGGTACGCACGAGGTAACGTTGGCAATCCTCCAAAGTGGGGAACGATCTCCCCACGTCCCTCCCCCACCGACATCCAAACCAACCCCGCTTACCTCCCTGCCCACCTCCGCCTCCTTGCTCCCCCCACACCTTTTCTCAACCTCCAGCAGCAGCACCTCCTACAGCAGCAGCAGCAGCAGCAGCAGCAGCAGCAGCACCAGCAACTACAGCAGCTGTTTTATCCACAGCCGCAGCAGCAGCAGCAGCCGCAGCCGCAGCAGCACCCATGGGGATCAGGACCCCAGCCCCAGTGGGGACCTAGCCCTCCTCCCTGGCAGCAGCAGCAGCTAAACTTCGGCACCGCAGCCATGGCCGCTCAGGCCTCACCGGCTCCCCTTTGGGGTACTCCACCCCCCCCAGTGGCACTGCCACCCCTCTCACTCAGGAGAACTTTCTTGGCAACATTGCTATCTCACCCTCTCTTCCTTCCATGTACCCGTCCACCATTAATGAAACCACTTTCCAGTACTCCGTGCCTTCCTCCTCCTCACCCACTCTGGACTTTGTCCTGGACAGTGGGGCCACTGAAACTGCTCTCAAAGACGCTGGTACACTCACACCCCTCTCTCCTCCCACTCAGGTTCACGGCGCTGACAGCAGCTTCACTATTCCATGCACACACCTCTCCACTCTCCCCTGCTCACTCTTCCCCTCTGGTAAGGTAACTGGTCTCCACATCCCCACTCTCCGAAACAACCTCCTCTCCCACCGTGAAATACAAAGTGCAGGTATCACTGCGGTCTACCCTGGTAATGCCAACTACTGTGACCTTTACCACACTGCCTCCGGCCGCTTCCTCCTCCGCATACCCCTCTGCCCCCGCACTCGCCTCTACACTCTCCGCACTCCGTGGCCATCCTCCTGTCATGTCACCACTCGTGCGGGTACCTCCACTAGCCCTCCCCATCTCCCTCCCTCCCCCCCCACTCCACCATCCCCCCACTCCTTCATCCCGCCCTCCCTCGTTCCAATCCCCTCCACCTCCGACCATCTCTCCCACCCCGCTGTTCTCCTACATCACCGACTCGGCCATCTCAATTTCGCCGCTCTCCGCACTGCTGTCACCTCACGACTCCTTCTCAGCCTCCCTCCCACCCTTCCTCCCCTTTCCTCCTTCCTTCTCTTCCCCCATGCCCCTCCTGCATCCACGGCAAACTCAAACAATCTCCTCACCACAGCCACCCATCCTTTGCTCCTGCACCAATTGACCTTGTCCATATGGACCTTTGGGGGCCCTCTCCCACCCGCTCCCGCCAAGGCCATCGCTACATGCTGGTTCTGGTTGACGATCACAGCCGCTACTCCTCCGTTTTCCTCCTCCACACGAAAGCCCAGGCGCCGACCATGATCATTCACTGGGCAGAACAATGCCGCACCCACTTCAAACGTCCCATCGGCCGCCTCCACTCTGATGGGGGAGGCGAATTCCTCAATCGCGCACTCACTCACTACTGCACCACTCATGGCATCCAACAGACCCACACTCTTCCCCACTCCCCACAGCAGAACGGCGTCGCAGAGAGCCGCATTCGCGAAATCACTAAGATCGCCCGCTGTCTCCTCGCTCACGCCTCCACCCCTCCTTCTCTTTGGGGCTATGCACTCCTTCATGCTACCCTCCTCCTCAACCTTCGCTCCCATCCCTGCCACACCGCCACTACCCCCACGGAGCTCTGGTCAGGGACCAAACCTGACGCTGCCGGACTTCGTGTTTGGGGTTGCAAGGCATATGTGCTCATCCCTCCACCTGAACGCACCCACGGCAAGCTCGCTTCTCGTGCCCTCGAGTGTGTCTACCTCGGCCACAACCGCAACTCGCCCGGTTACCTTTTCCTTCACCCTCCCTCCGGTCGCCTCATCCGCAGCATTGACGTTGTGTTTGATGAGACCACCCCATTGTTAGTGTTAGTCTTCAATCTCACAATTTGTACTTTGTATTTTCTATATCCTAGAGTAGTGTAGTTTGCACATTGTGTTTGGTTGGGTGTACACCTACATCCCAACCAAACCCAAATGTAATCTCCAACCAATCTCCAACCCACCAATTGGAGATTGCCTTGGGATTACCCCCAATCCCTAGAGATTGCCCCCGATTCCCTTCCCCATCCTTTTCCTACCCCTCTTGGATGTACTTAAAGAGCTTCAAGCTCATTACTAATGCATCGCTTCTAAGCCTATTTCTGACATGGTATCAGAGCCCTTCAACCGCATACGCGGATCGTGATCTTCTTACCTCTGCGGATACTCGTCCCGCAAACCTCGGCGAAGCCATCGTCAACCTCGTCGCCGGTGATTCGC